GTACTACTAGTACTAATACCAATCCAAAACCCTAAACCTAAACCCTCAATTCAATATGATGGCTCCTAGGCTTGGCTTTGCACGGCTTAGGGTCTAGGAACGAGGGTGAAAGTAAAAATGGTGTTCTGCCTTGAGGGCTTTCAGGCTTCGGGCTTGAATTAGGAGTCATGGGGGGAAGGTTTAGGGCTTAGAGTTTACGGAAGAGAATCAAGGGCCGTTTGGGGATTACAAGGGCGTTTCCAAATAAGGAAGTGGTCCCTCTGAGATGGACGATTTGGAGCTTTAGGACGCAATTTCAAGCATGTGGGCCTTTCAGCCAGCAAGCGCGGGCAGGACATTCTGGGAAGCGCAAACACTCTCGAAATCTCGAAGCTAAGGTAAACATGAATACTTATCTTGTTGACTTCCTTGCTGCCAACACACACACACACCGTTTGCATCCTTTCTCCCGCCTAGGGCCTTAACTTAGTCCAGCACCGCAGCGCAAGCATGTGTGCTAGACGTCTCTATACCGACAACGACAACTACGAGACACGGTAGCGAATTGAATGTGCGGCTGCACAAGTGCTCTTTCCTGGGTGCTCACATGAAGGACGGAACTCCTACAAAGGAAAAGTGCCGCGGAATCTTTCCGCATGGAAGCACCTGCATGGTTTGAGGTCTAATGCAGCTCCCAACCTGGGCGTCAAAGAGGTAAACTGGAAATGTGCCATCTTGCCGCGTGCCCCCGGCATAAAACACTATACAACAATGCTGATTGAGCGTATGATGACGGCGGCGCTCCTGTCACAAGCAATACTTACAAAATGACCGTGCGACTAACTAGCAAGGGAAGCTTGAAGCCGGAGACCCCAAATCAACTGGGTTGCTGTTAAGGAACTTAATTTAAGGGATAATCCCCTATAATGGAGAATCAAATGGAAAAGCAAATGGAAAATGACATGGAAACCATTATGGTAACTTAATTTAAGATCCTTTACAGCAACCCAGTCAATGCAAGCGCTGCGCTCGGAAGCATAAGCCTAAACACCAAATTAATATCAATTCACCAACTACCAACTATTGGCCATGCCTTGGGTACTGCCTCCTCCCAGTAACGGTCTATATGAGGGGTCCTATCAAGGGCTATATATAACCCTATTATTATTATTATCCTACTGTTAGTGAGGGGGAAGCCATGCCAGTGTGTACTATGCCCATCTTGCTACAACCTTTCAGCTACGAGAAAACACCCCCCTAAACCCTAGACCCTGAAAATAGTAGCTTCCATTTTCTTTTCCATCATCCCAATATATCTGGATGCTGGCAGGCGTGCCTCAGCAGCTGGCAGCTCCGGCTCCACGCCCACATCTTCCCCTCCACGTAGTGCTGCGTAAGGGCTATAGTCCCCCTTAAGTGGCTAGAAAAAGGCTTTGGGTGGTAATAATATTTCAATAAGATCCCCATATACCCGATATTCTATCTACTTAAGGGGGACTGTGGGGTTTAGGGTTAGGTTGGTCTCTTCCTAGCTTGTTCTGCAAATTCCATGAAATAATAAAAAGTCAGAAAAAAGTCAGAAATGAGATTACCCAGCTCCAGACAGTGTAGATGCGAAGTCAGAACTCAAGTTAAAAACCAAGTCAGAAAAAAGTCAGAAATAAGTCAGGAAAAAGTTAAACTTCACTATTTGCCGTGAAGAATAGCTTTCCAATGTTGAAATCTTCCTGCCTAGCATGCTGCTGAGAAGCTGGGTTAGGTTAGATGATTGGATTGCCATGTTTCTGAACTTGTGCACTACTACATTGCATCAACTGCCTATATACGGAAAAGGGAACCAATAAGGGCTCAATAAGGGTTCAGACTCATACGCGGAATCATTGGAAATCTTGGACATCTAGGGACAGATCCACCAGAAAATGCTTCGGCATTTACCTGGTACCTTAACAATATGGCAATATGGCAATATGTGGGTTGTCTTGGTCGAGGAATTTGACAACACTGCTACCTAGCTGCTAGCTAAAAGGTAGCACAAACAACTGCATAAATAGAGCCCCAATGTGTATTTGCAAATTGGAACTAGCAATTGCTATTCTGCTGTTCGGAACTGGTACTGAGTACTGGTAATGATACCTGGACCTATGTATCACTCGACCTCCTCTTCTCGTCCTACTCGTACTGCTATGCTACACTGCTACACTGCTACAACTACTCGTACTCCTACTTCCTACTTGTCCTACTCCTACTACTACTCCTACTCCTACTCTACTCCTGTCCTAGTCCTACCCTACAAACGGTTAGTAACTAAACTAACCGTTACTAACCTACAGTCCTAGTCCTATTCTCCTATTCGTCCTGCGCATGCTACGCTGCTATGCCCCGCATGCCCCACTGCCTACATTGCATCAGTATGACGGCTATGACGGTGCGAGAACGCCACTTCAATCCTGTCCTATTGCTGCTGCTGCATCCGCTGCTTGCGGTGATGGTGGTGCTGCTGCTGCTGCTAGGCTGCCGCTACCTGCTACCTGCTACCTACCGGAGGTCCTCATGGGCACACAGCGGGCCATTCAGGTACTTGTAGCTTCCAATCTAGAATCTAGTCCCTCTGTAGCCGGGTAGCGGGTACTAGAGTCTAGAGCTTGTTCCATTCAATTCAATTCCATCGAGGGCCCTCCTACCGCAATCTATCGGTACCGACAGTGAACACACCTACAAGTACAAGTATGTCACACGCTGCAGGAACGTGAGGAAGTTGTAGAGTGTAGAAGCACACCATGGTAATTACGTAGTTGAAGGCAAAAAGTGTCAAGCGCAGCTTGTGTGTAGACCATGGGCAACAAAACCGCAATGAGCCTGCAGTTAGAAGCAATGGCCACACCGGAAACAAAACCTGTGAGAAATAATTTGCAGTACCTGTATGGCTGATACGGAACCTGAAAAGTCGCAGGATGCGATGGGGTTGTCACGCCAACAGCAGCTGAGAGAGCGGTCTATGACACGTAGTATACATGCTAAGCCATACTGTTATACTGCTGCATCGAAGGACCGTAGTGAGTGTAAACCACCGCTCAGCAGCCGTCACCGTAACCCCCATCAATGAAGTTTCTGCTGGGACATCTTTGCTCGAACAGCCGGTCCGTGATCAAGCAGTCTGTAAGCAGCCCGTGGAAAAGTAGGCATTCCTCCCTGGACAGAGTCTGCACGCACAGCCCTCACATCCCTATTAGGACTTGGAGCTTAACCCCTAAAGCCCCAAACTAAACCCTAGGCCCTACATCCTAAATCCTGAGCCCCAAACCCTAAATCCAAGACCCAAAAACCAAAAAAACCGTAAACTTCTGAGCCATCCCCTCACCCACCCCCTTTTCACCTCGAACAGTCTCTAGATTGAGGATTATTGATGATTTAATTAGTGTCCACCCCGACCCCACTCTAGCGCAACCACACGCAGACAATGTAGACTGTAGACTGCATCTCCAATGCTGACTCACAGAACTTACGCGCGAGACCCTGGCCAAGAACGAAACAACGCCACAGCAGCTGCCGCTCTTTACAAGCAGGAACTTGCTGCACTCTGACCCTGATTTCTTGTCGCTACAGTCGCTACATTGCTACATCCTTTACAATGTTTTCATGGTAGTGTAGGGCGGGCAGGTGAATCTCAAGGGAAATAGAATCTAGAGTCTAGAGTCTGTAGCCACTGTAGCCCAGCAACGCGTTACAGGGTTGAGCTCAGCCCATCTATGAGTATAAGATTCTAAGATCATCCTCGGAACACACAATGCCCACAGTGCCTATGACATGGCTGCACAGCAAAAGTAGACTACACAACGGCCATGGTCAAATGGCCGCAACACGCAGCTCATATCATCGCACCACCGAGCTATTCCACGCACCGCAGTGCGACCTACCCTACATCCTACGTAATCTACATAGCCAACTTCTTCCAGCTCGCCAGGAGAGCCGGCAAAATGTCATCCTCGCTGCACAACAACTTTTTGTCCTTCAACTCACCCATGGGAACCTCAAGGATTGACTGGCACGTTGCCTTCGATCGCTGGTTGAGGGCGAACACGAGCACCGCCTCAAGCTTGAAGATCTGCGTCTGCTTGAGCGTCGTAGAAAGCTCCTTGTGACACTGGGTGAATACGCTGAAGTCCATCTTGTCCTTCAAAGGCTCCATGACACCCATGATCTCCTTCATGTTCCGGAAAGCCTGAAACGGTTTTGCTTTCTAGCAACGCTCAAGGTTCTCAAGCTTGGACTCAGAACTTGCGTTGCCCAACAAAGATCCCTTGCAGGGCCTACTACTCGCCTACTTCACGAACAGACTCTCATGCAGATTGATTGAAACTTGCATCTGGGGGGGGAATTCATCAACTACGTAGTCCACGGCTAAGTAGTCTATGAGTCTGGCTCAAGAGTCAATCTAGATCAACTCAACTCCTCTACTCATTACGGCTACTCATTTTCTGGATCTACTGGCCAGTAGCGGCTAGCCGCGGCTAGCCTAACTGGCAAACCCTAACAGCCCTAACACCTAACACCCCCACGCAGCCTGCCTGCTGCATGTTTTTCAACACAGCATCCACGGCATCACCATCGATGGCGCTTAGAATCGTGCTCCCTGTGTCCAAGACAAGCTTCGCGTCATTGGGATCAGCCAGCTTCTTGGTCCAGGATGTCTCTGGCAAGTGATGACCTTCAGTCAAAGTTGAGATTGCAGACTGCAGCTCTGCAACTTTGGTTCCCCACTGCTTTCCGCAACTGGCTGTTGCCTCTGTCACGTCAGCTGGCCACCCTTCCGAACACATGTCTTGAATCATCTCAAGCAAGCGAGAGCATGAAGACATGTCCACGTTCTGCAACGCTGCAGCACCACGGAACACCTTTGAATACTCTCTCAGCAGCATCTGGAAGCATGATTGCAGAGAATCATTCTCAAGTCTTGCTTCCACTGTTGCACCCATTTTCGTCCACTTCAGGTACTGCTTGCTAGCTTGACCCCAACCTGCAACGAAATCTAAGATCTGGAGCAGGATCTTCTTTTCGTCGTCTTTGTAGATCAGGCTGATCACCCCGGTGGCAACCTTCTGATCCTTGGCAGGCAACTCCTGCCCAGCTTTCACCTGGCCATACACGAGTACACAGAAAAATGTGGTCTAGGGGGCTTGGGGTTTAGGTCCAGGTTTAGGTTGGGGCCGTTAGGGTTCAGGTTACCATATTAGTATTATGGGTAGGGCTAGGGCGGCTAGGGGATAATAACTGATAGGTCCGATAGGTCTGATCGGACTTCCTTAACCTATTGAATAGCTATTCAATCAAGAGATTGGGCGAAGTACCACCTGACTGTAGGCCTCTACTTCGCTGAGCTTGTTGCCTAACCATGTGACTAGTTTTGACTAAATTACGCACACTACACTGCACCACACCTCACCTCACCACACCACACTACACAACACTACACAACACTACACGACACTACACAACACTACACAACACTACACTACCCGGCACTACCCTACAACACTGCACGTCACTACACTTCACTACATCACACTGTCACTACACTACACTACGCAGGGGACGTGAGCAAGCGAGACTAAACACCCGGTCAAGACTCATGGCCTTCTCCAAGAAACCTTTGCACATCGCCGGAACCAATTCCCGGATGCCCTCCACAGACGGCACAGCCTCCTTGCCCTCTCTGCCGCAGCGTCGGAGAAGAGTGTCGAGAACCTTGCAATCCACCTCCGAGCATCCATCCACAGCATCTCGAATGAAAACCTGCAACTGCTTTGTAGCCAAAGTGTTGGAGACTTTCTCCTGCCAAGCGTTGAAACGGGACAGCAAATCTGGCATCCCAGAGTATCGCGCCAGCAAATTGAGCCCACGTGACACACACGCCACATGGGCAGGATCGACATCCGTAGCATCCGTCTTGGAAAGGAGCGCCTCAACGATGCACTTGCTCCTTCTGCAAAGAAGCTCTTCCAAATCCGTCAGCGCTCCTTCTCTCAGCTCCTTTGTCATAGCTGGGCTGGCCCGCAACGCCGCTTCATACTCAGAGGAGAACTCTGGGGAGTTGACCTTGCAGAGGTTGTCCGTGGTCAAGCGCTTCAGTTCTGGGGACAATCTCATGGAAGCTGAAGCACATTTCAACAAATCATCAGCTTGCTCCCTCCACTCATCTGTGCTTTCCACAACAGTGCGGAAAGTCTCAAGGGTTGTGTTATCCCCATCAAAGCTGAGCAAGTCCACCGCGTCCTTCACACATGACCCCCCATAAGAAGGGATGGGGGTGTAGATTGCGAGGACGCCGGAGAGCGCCTGCTGCATAGTCGAGAAAACCGACTTGAAGGGCTCGGGGACAACCGACAAAGTCTGGGCCTCCTTGATCTTGTCCAGAAAGACCTCGCACATGCGCGCCATTCGGCTGGCCGTCAGTGGGTTCCGCAAGATTCCAAGCACAGCGTCGTTGCTGAACGCGTCCAGCATACACAATGCCAGAGCCTGCGAAGCGCGAGAAGGAGCTAATAGCCGCCATACTGAGATCAAACTACAGTGACGCAGTCCTAAGACATAAGAGGCACTAAACACTAAACAAGAAACATCTAGCAGCTAGCCCAATCGCAGTCGCAAGGGTAAAGGTGTTTCAGGGTTTTATGGTTTGGGAGTTTAGGAGTTTAGGGTCGAAGATTTGGGGATTTGGGGTTACTAGTCTACTCAGTCTAAAGTCTATAGACTCACACTATATAGTCTAGAATCTAGAATCTAGAATCCAGATGGATGGAAGGAACCAGGGAATCAGGACACTACCCTACATCATCACTAGCTCACTAGCTGGCTGACTAGCTAGCTGATATGATATGACAGAATGAGACCACATACTGAGACTGACATGACATACTGCACAGCAACGTGACAGACAGCTTTGCAGACACCCGAGATGCCGCAGCGCCTCTGCCTGGGTCGCCTCCTGCTGCGCGTCCTCGTCGTCCTCATCATTCTCGGCGTCCGCGGCCTTCTTGTCCTCCTCGCCGTCCTCGGCGCCCTTGTCTTCGGCCTCGTAGTCCTGCAGAATAGCAACCAGGGCAGCAAATCGGGGCTCTCGATGAGACCAGGCATCAATCATCTCGAACGTGTCTGCGTAAACCTTTTGGAGGTTGAAGATCTCCCAAAATTGCTCAATCTTTGCCTTCAAACTGACAGCGTTCTCGCCTTTGTTGTCATCCTCAGTCCAAGTCTCGATCCCACGCGCGGCCTCAAGTGCAGCCTTCTTCGTGACGTCCACTTTCAAATCCCAGGGGAGCTGATGGTTGTTCTCTGCGAGCTTGCTCAGGGCAAGGTCAAGATCGTCCTGCTCCATATCCATGGGTCCAGTGGAGACCAGCGCAAGTGCACATTCGAGCAACTCGTAGTACTTAGTCAGCACCACCTGAGCTTTGATGTTGGTGTTCGATTTCTTCATGTTGTCCAGCATCATCTTGACCTTGCGCACGGGGCAGATGTTGCTTGGAAACACGAAACTGTCACATGAATCTAGCAGAATCTAGCAGCTAGCATTAAGTCGTTAAGATTTCTGTTGCCAACGCACCACCCACCCCAATCCTCATCACTATGCCCACCCCCACCCCCCACCCCTTGCCTTAACTGCTCGCAATTCCTGCCCACCCTTTTGTGGCCCGCCTTCCCCCAACCACCCAACGAACCGCCCGCCCTCTTTTCAACGCATATGGCATATGGCATATGGCATATGCCCCCAGCCTAGGATCAAACCTATAAAATGTGAAATTTATCTGCAATCGGAGCAGAACAGGAACCCGTAGGACATGCAGGCACAGAGCAACTCGAAAACACCTTCAACCCATCACTGGCCCTGCACATCCTGTAGTCACTAGTCACTAGACCCCGGCCCCTGACCTAGATTCGACCCAGGCCCTAGGCCCTGCTACCCTGAACCCCTAGGCCCTACTACCCTGAACCTATATAGATATAGCCACCATAACATAACCGTAACGTAACCGTAACCTAAGCGCGTGTGCGAAAAACCCACTCGCCGCGTTGCGAACCCCAACTGTGGCACAAACCGCACACTGTCACTAGCAGCTAGCAGCAAGCGCTGCGACCAACCAAAACAGCTGAGGCGGACACGCCGTTCAGTTTGCAGCCAATCTTCTTGCCTGAAAGGACTGCCTCGATGGACAGGCCCTCGAAGCAATCCGGCACCTTTCCCAGACCTTTGACGACCCGTTGAAGTTCTGCGGGAAGCCCCTCAGACCCTGCAGGAAGCCCTGCCTCTGCGACCTGGGAGTCACTCTTGGCACCCTTGGATCTTTTGCCGCCGTCCGACACGGCTCTTTTGGCGATGTCGGGGACGTCGGCCCCAAACATGGACACCGAAGGAGCAGCCGGCGTGTCCCCCGACGCTTTCCTCTTGTTCTTGCCTGGCTCCTTGGTAATCGGGGTCTGGGCCTCTGCTCGACGGGAAACTGGGGCTGCAGGCATCGCCTCAAGATCGATAAGGCTTGCCATCTGACTGGCATCCCTGGCCATCAACTCTTGCACGGTGAAGATTCCTTGAGCGGTCGGACTCTTGAGGACGTTCGGCAACTTCTTCAAGAGCTTGTCCTGGCTGAAAGCGAACAGAAGCTCAGCTTGACCTTCGTGCAGTTGTTTTTCAGCTTCCAACACCATCTCCTGCATGGACATGCAGCAGTTGCAAAAGATCTGGATCCGCCGCATGGCGTGGATTTGCCCGCAGCTCAAGCCAGCCAGAGAAACGATGCGGACTTTCTGCATGGAGCCGTGTTGATTCTGGAGCTGGGTCTCTTGCACGTACGGCTTTGCGTGCTTGCCCACGAGCTCCTCGAACTCACCGTCCAGGAGCAGGCCGAATTCAACGAATACCTTCTGCCCCCTATTCTCCAAGTCGAGCACTTGGGCCCGCTTGAAGTTTTGCGAGCCTCCGTTTGCCACTTCGACGGCAGAGTTGAAGATCTTCCTGAACGACGGGTCGGTGTCGTACCTGGGATCTTTACGATGAAATTTACACCGCTATGCGGTCACAATCCCGTTCGGAACCCACTTCGCAAGGAATATGAATATACCAAAAGGTAGCAAGGTAGCAACTGAAAGACAGATGGTGTGGTGAGGTTTAGAAATATGTTTGCAGAAAGTTTGCGGACTTTATTTAATGAATTTAACGCAAATCGGATTCTCGTGGATGTTGGGATGCTGAATGCTGATTCGTTGGAATATTCACTGCAGAGTTTTCGCAGATGTTCGCTTTCTTCTTAAGATGCTGCGAGATACTGCAGAAAGCGTTGGGCTTTGCAGGCATCTGGCTGTGTCCAATCCGCGTGACTAAAAAATCCATTCCTATCCCTATCTGCCCTATCTATCTGCAGCGAAAACGCAAAAAGTCTGCAAAACAGCAAACTTGCAAAAAAAACTGCGAAGCGAATTCCGATTTGTAAGAATCTGCGAGAAAAATGCAATGCTGGCCTCCGCCCTACCCGCCCTAACCAGAAAAAGCATTTGCGATCGAAATGCCCATCTGCAAAAAAATCTGCAAAACCTGGCCCCCCCAACCAGCCAAAATCTGCAACATTTCTGCAAAGATAAATCCCAACGGTTTAGGACTTAGCCTTAGCACTTTTAGCAGCATTTCAGTTGCCCCAGCTAGCCAGCCAGCAGCTAGCAGCATGAGTATGATGAGTGGCTGCACTCACGCGTCTAACACAAGGGCACTTGCAAGCGCAGTGCCTTATTATTGCTACCACGCCCTTCTAACACTGCGCCAGGAGAGTATGCCTAGGCCTATGCACTGCAGTGACTCCGTGACCCCATCACTACAATACAATCACTACAATCTACAACTCCACGACGCAGTCAAGTCACAGGCTGCAGCCCTTCACCCAGGTCCAGCCAGGCCACCCCTTCGTTAGCGTTGTCACACAGTGCAAGCAGCCGTCCTCAACGCGGTTGCCCGCCGCATCGACCGTGGCTTCTTGCACCTCGCTCAAGTCGGCTCGGCGCATGTGGCACGGTCGGTCCAGCAACTCAACGTCCTCGCGCCCTCGGAGTCCTCCTTGCGGCCTAGAGGCCGCCTTAGAGTCCTTAGAGTCCTTGGCAGGCGGGACGATGCCGGGCTCCACCTTGGCCTGACGTGAGGGCATCGCTCTGGGTTTCTGGACAGTCTTCATTGGCTGCTTTGGCAGAGCCACAGCCACAGCAGCAGCAGCCCTTTTATTGGGCACACGTGTCTTCGGAGTGGGCACACTGAGAGTCTGCTGCTGTGCTGGCGCCTCCTGGCAAAGAACTTGCAGACGCACATCAATCATCACTAGAATCACTAGGAGAATCGCTGGATCACTGGATTCACTGGATTGAGAAAAACTACAAGGGGGCTTCGGCGATCGTCTACGAGTCTACTTGGTGCACCTGCTGAGCGTAAGGCGTAATAGCTTGAGCTTTGCCACGACACCAGCTACGCCACATAGCAGCATAACATACAGTATTCAACAGCCCACAAACTGTCCTTCTTCACACCAAAACGGCTCCAGGGTGCCATGGCTGCTCCAGTGTGCAAAGTGCGCGGGCCTTCTTGCCCAGTGCTGTGTTGTGCAACAAGAGAGAGAGACTTGAAGTCTTGAAGGCTGTGGCCAAACAAGCAGCACACACCTCCACGCATTCGCTGCCAAATCTGGACTCTCTGAAATCTCAGCAAGCTGAGCTACAAAAACGCCGCACTCCAAACTGCAAGCGTCCTGAGGGCGTCCTGCTACGCAAGTTTTGTCACACCTCCAGGTCCAGGCGAACGAAAGCGCTCACACTGCTGTACTGCGAGCTGCGGTTAATTATCCGAAGCCTGCATCTTGGAGTCTGCAACTACAATCACAGAATTTCCAGTCTACAGGATCTGCAAAGACAGTGTCCATCCCGACGCGTGCTGCTTGCTGCGCCAGACACTTGCTGGGTCAGTGGCAAGTCCCAAGGGCATAGCGTAAGTCAGGCTGGCGCTACACTACACACTCGCAAATTTCCGGAAAAGTCCCACTGTCCACTAAACCAGCATTGGCAGCACCCTACAATCCTGCCCTGCAACTGTTCCAAGCCGGGATGCAGCGTGCGCCTGCAAGCAAATCTCGGCACGACCAGTCACTACCACGGCGCAGGCTACTTGAAGATTGCTTCTCTCCAGCTGCCAATCGGCCACGGATAGTTACTAGTTATGACCTGCTGACAAGTAAGTAACCAGGGCAACCTATGTAGAAACAGCTAAGTTCTGCTGCCAAATGCTCTCTCTTTGTGGAATTTTACTTGGAAGTCTCTACAAATATGCGGCCCGGTACACTCACTCGAATTCGAACTCTAGATTCTAGATTCTAGAATTCTAGAAGATTCTAGATTCTAGATGATTCCATACTCTGGACTGTCTAGATTATATATCATAGACTCTAGCTGACCAACTCTAGCAGCAGCTGTAGCTTCTGGAGAGCCGTAGCCGTAAACGTAAAGGAGAGGGAAACTGTTCATCCACTACTCACTACTCACTAATCAACTCCCGACGGCTCAGCAGTTCACACCGGGCGCAGGGAATTGCTTAGTCAACATCAGAGCCCAAATCACAAGGGCAACGCAAGGCAGCGCCATGCTATTCGAAACCAGTGCTCGCAAATCATTATCAGTGATGCTTGCTGGCAGCTTCAAGCTGCTTGTGAAGCCGTGCAGCGCACACAACTCCCTGCCCAACAGCACCCCCCAAAACTGTATATGACACTGGACGAGGTCAGTGTGGGGAGCGGCTGCCCTGCTGCTGCCCAGGCACGCCTGGACACACTCTGGGACACATCAATGTAGGCCCCACGCAGCACCTTCCTGACTGCCAGCGGCGTCATTTCCCGCAGTGTCAGACCTTGCTGCATGCATATCGTGATGGCCGCCAAGTCGAGCACTTCCGCAATGCGGGCGCTGGACACCAGCCCGTGTCCACGGAACTGCTCTCTCCCCGTCCAGGGACGAAAGTGCAGAGGCACCCCAACACGCTCACGAAACGCTTGCGCATCCTTCGCCCACACCACACCTGCACGTGCTTTGCTCTCCTGGCCGGGGCAAACGGCAAAAGGACAAAGAACTAGACTAGAATGAATGAATCTAAGAAACTCTACTCTACTCTACCCTACTCTGCTTTCTGCTTGCCAATGTGTGCGACCTGAGCTCTTCGGGTTGACGCGCCAAACAAGTAACTAGTAACTGACAAGTAAGTGCTAAGTCGTCTCTAGTCAATTTCATTGTTGATAATCACAAAGTACTTAGTAGCAGCAGGTGTAGAAAGAAGAGAAAGTAGAATCTGTGGGAGCAGCCCGCGGTAGTAATAGTAATAGCTGCAGTAATGAAATAGCACTAATACCTGGTAATAGTAACCAGTACTTAGTAGCCGTAATAACAAGAATCGTATAAGTATATACTAGCAGCAGTGCCAGCAGC